GGTGTGTGTGTGTGTGTGTGTGTGTGTCTGTGTGTGTGTCTGTGTGTGTGTCTGTGTGTGTGTTTGTCTGTGTGTGTGTCTGTGTGTGTGTCTTTACGTGTGTCTGTGTGTGTGTCTGTGTGTGTGTGTGTGTGTTTGTGTGTGTGTGTTTGTCTGTGCTGTCTTTCTTTTTCACTCTCTCTCTCTCTCTCTTACTCACTCTCTCCCACTCTCTCTCTCTCTTCTATTTTCTCTCTCTTCCTGTGGGTCGTTGGCGGGTGCTCTGGTGTGGTTTGCTCCTTCTTTCCTATCAAAAATCTGTCTTCTTTATCTCCCCTCCTCCTTTTTTGTGTTTGTTACTCACTTGTAACACCTCTAATCTTCGGCACTTATATGACCTTATTGTGTTGCAAGTGCCGTAAAACTCTTACTAAAACTAAACTAAAATCTCTCTTCCTCTCTCTCTCTTTCTCTCTTCCTCTTTCACTCTCTCTCTCTCTCTCTCTCTTTCACTCTCTTTGGATCTCTCTCACTCTCTCGTGGATCATTCTCTCTCTCACTCTCTCCCACTCTCACTATCTCTCACTCGTTCTCTATGTATATGTGTGTTTGTATGTGTACATGTGTGTGAGTGTGTATGTTACGTTTTATCATGTCAACTCAGCGCATGCAAATGTTCCTACAAATCTAACGCATCTCGTGCATCATCCTGAGTGTCTTCTAACTCCTCTGTTACTGTGTATGGTTGTATGCGAGACTTTGTCTTCCCGGCGACAAACATTACGACTGTCCTTTATTTTTTTAACGACTAGCTAGAGAAAGCCACAAGTAGGTCCTACATCTTGACTTACCCTCTGTACTATTAGGTTGTCTGTATACTCTTCTCTTTTCAACCACTGAATAATCGTTAATGTGTCATAGCCTATACCCAAACAAACTGTTGTTATTTCTGCACGCTGTTACTAAAAGAAACCAAACAGGGAAAAGAAAACGTTCTTTCAGGAAACATCACCTTACTGGTGAAACAGTTAAACACTCCACTATTGTGCGCACAAAACGTGAGTTTCATTCCCGAAAGGGGATGAGTTTCTTAAATGGTGGTTTATTTTTTTTAGTTTTATTTTGTTTTGTTTTATTTTTTCATTGAGTATCTCGTCCCGCCTGCTAGGATGCTATATTTCACTCAGTCCTAGTAGGCACTGGCGTGCAAGGTCGGTCGAAACCCCACGTCCTCTAGATTACCTTAACTGTGTGGATGTGAGCGTAAAACACTTGCAATAAAACAACACACTATAGAGCGGTCAAAAATTCGTGGTGCAACTTTTCCTTAAATATCTCTTTAACGGGTGAATCAATGTCATCCATACTTTGCACAGCAGTTTGTCTCAATTTATCTTAACTAAATCATATTTTTCCAGAACAGCTGGGGCTAGATTAAAAAACTTTTCTTCGTAAATTTATATAAAATACTTGAAATCTCTGTCACACGTAAAGTGGTATTGTTCACAGCACTTCCCGCTTCTCACACACATTTTGATTACGCATATGACCTACGTCACAGCTTATCAATGACAATTTTTACTTGCATAACTTGTTACAAGAAATTATTGTTATAGTGAACACATCTTTGTACTAATGGCTCTCAAAACACGCGTTCAATAAGCATAATGTCCCGATTAGAAAAACTTGACGGACTTGCTATTAAAAGCAATATTGCCCAAGCTGTAAGCATTTAAAAATCTGTAGAAACCACCCACTTGGATTTTTTATTAGTATTTATTAAGGAATTTTCTAGAATACAACTTGCAGGTGTTTACAAAAGTATTGATCCGTTGAGAGAAATTGACACAAGTCACTGTGCGAAAATTGGAGAACCTATTTAATAGTATGTTCTATAGTTGAGAAGATATTTGACAATGAGGCGCACCACGAAAATTTGACCGCACTACAATCCCAGGAACCACCTGCTTGTGGTGATATGTGCCTTTGTGAAGGCTAGACCAGACGGTGACAACAGCTTTGACCTAGTTCTGGAGATGGTCCAGGTGAGTGGTGCTCAATGTTTGTGTCTTGTCTGTCTGTCTGTCTGTCTGTCTGTCTGTCTGTCTGTCTGTCTGTCTGTCTGTCTGTCTGTCTGTCTGTCTGTCGGCCTTTGTCTTTCTCTGCCTGTCTCCTTCTGTTTCTGTCTCTATCTCTGTTTCTCTCCCTCTCTCTCCCTCTCACTCCCTCACTTCTCCCCCCTCCCCTCGTCTCTCTCTCTCTCTCTCTCTCTCTCCTTCTGCCTCTTTTTGTGCCTCTGTCTGTTTGTTCCACTCCCCTCTATCTATCTATCTATCTATCTTCCTTCAATGAATGAGGTGTGTTCTATCTATCTATCTATCTATCTATCTATCTATCTATCTATCTATCTATCTAT